TTCACCTCCTATCCAAGTCATCTACCCTATAGTCTTTGAAGACTTTATCTTCTCTATCCTTCAGTCTTTTACAATTACTATATAAGTATTTTAATTATTATTTTTTTAAATATATTAATGTACTTAATAAGCGAGCGTCGCAGTCAAGCGAGCGTCGCACTTAAACTGTGCACTAAAATCTAAAATCCTTAACCTTAATAAAAACCGCATTAAAATAGCTAGAAACTAAAAAACTAAATTTTTAGCTATTTAACTTAAAAATAAATTATATATAATTTTTTTAGATTTTTAAAAAATCCCCTATATAAAGAAAAAGCTATTTATATAGTGCGAATATTCTTTTCTCTAAACTACCTTATAAGGGATTTTTTTAAAATTCCTAGAAAAATATATATAGTTCTTTATTTTATAAATAGCCTATACCTAATCTTATAGGCTTATAGAAATTAAGCTAAATTTCCTAGAGTTTTTTAAAGGAATTTTCTATTTTAGTGGGATTTATACTATAGGGTAAAAGTGCGACGCTCGCTTGTTTGCGACGCTCGCTTATTAAGTACGTTATATATATTTAATTTATATTAATTATATAAAAGTCTTAACTTACCCTATAGTTATTTTAATTATTATATATTTTTATAATAGTATTTTAATATAATTTATAATATAAATATAAAGGTCTTAGCTTACCCTATAGATATTTTAATAATATAATTAATTTTATATTAATTTTATTTAATTTATATTATTAATATAAGCCTTATCTTTCTTTATAAATATTTTTATATTAATACTATTTTTATATTACTAACTTATAAGCCTTAACCTACCCTATAGGTATTTTTATTATATTATTTTTAATATATTATTTTTATTTAATTTATATTATTAATATAAGCTTTATTTTACTTTAGAAATAGCTTAATATTAATATTATTATTATATTATTAACTTGTAATACTTAGCCTATCCTATATATACTTTAATATTATTATTTCTATTTAACTTATATTATTAATATATAAATATTAAGATATCTTATAAATACCTTAGTATTATTATTATTATTAAAGTCTTAGCTTACCCTATAGATATTTTAATAATATTATTAATATTATATTATTAATATTAATATTATATTATTAATATTAATATTATATTATTAATATTAATATTATATTATTAATTTATAGCCCTTAATATAGCTTATAAATATTATAAAAATATTATTAATATTATAATATTTATAATATATATAATAAGCGAATATAATAAATAAGCGAATATAATAGAAATCTTAACCTCTAGGACTAAAATTATAATAAAAATATTATAAATTATTTAATTAATTTAAATTACTTATTATATTTTTCCCTAGATATCTTAATTATTATTTAATAGGCCCTTATATTATACCTAGGCTTACTATAGATACTATAGCGCCGAATACCTAATCTAATTAACCTTCCTCGATTATTACTCCTCGATAATTTAGCTACTACTTATATATCTATATCTATTTAATTAATTACTTACCTTCCTTTTTCTATTATTATTACCTCTTTTTTCTATAATCTAGTCTTTTTTACCCTCTAGCGCTAGCTTAATATCTTATTTACCTCTTAAAGATCTTTAACCTTAGTAATTAATAAGGTAACCTTATATATAATAGCCTTTATTCCTTTTATAAGGGACTATAAAGCTTTAAGTATTAACTCTAGAGAGCTACTTTAATACCTTTTAATTTATCTTTTAAGGTATTTAAATTAAAATCTAGCCTTAAGTATAATCTTTAGGGTCCTTAAGACCTAAGGGGTAAAAGATTTAACCCCCTCCTTAGTAGGCATTAGAGTCTATAGCTATATATTAAGCTTTAAGATTATAATTTTTAGGTTAAGGGGAATAAGATTAATTCCCTTAAAAGCCCCCTTAATATTTCTTTCTATTATAATAGCCTTATATATTATATAGAAGGCTAAAAAGAACTTAGTCTTTAAAATATAGGTTATAGAGTATCTAATTAATCGCTTTATTTCTTAATTATAAGCTTATTTTAATATATTAAAATATCTAATATTAAGAGGCTAAAATAAATAAGATAAATAAGATAATATATAAAGCTAGATAATTTTCTTTTCTTTATAATATCTCTTAAATTTAATAGATTAATAACTTTTATAGCTATTAAGGATTAAGAGATAATAAGAACTAATTAATTAATTAATTATATATTAATTAAAGTATTTAAGCTACTTAAGACTAATCTTATTATTAATCTAATTATTTTAGGTTATTATAATAGCCTAATCGCCTAGGAGGTTATTTTCTCGGTATTAATTAGCGAGGTAATATTAGCCTATATTAATAATAAATAATTAAATCGCCTAGCTTTTTATATTAATTACTTAAATAATTATAATCTATTCTTAGTTTCTAAGCTATATTAATTTCGGCTTTAAATACCTTTTTATATTTATAATAACTATTCTACTTATAATTATACCTATAAGAAAGCTAATCTTATTAAAGTTATAGATATTATCTAATTAGATATTATACTTCGCGATTATATTTACTATAAGCTAAAATTAATTATAGATAATAATTAGATTTTTATACTTAGCTCTCTAATAATTATATTTCTAAAAAAAAATATATCTTAAGCTCTAGGTAACGTACTTGATAAGCAAGTGAGCCAGTCAAGCAAGTGTGCCAAAAATCCCTCAACCTACATCCTCTCCATTTGATCAATTAATTCTCAACCACCCAGCATGTCACAGTCTAATTGTGAGGCTAGAATGCTTCTTGCCCTTCGGGCCCTTCAAAATAACCCAAAACTAAGCCTCCGACGCGCCGCAGATACATATGAGGTTAATCGAATGACATTACGTCGCCGACAGCACGGCATTCAATCTCGACGCGATACTATCCAGAAATCACGTCGGCTATCTAATCTAGAGGAAGAGATCATTATTTACTTTATTCTCGACCTAGATTCGCGAGGATTTCCTCCCCGGCTACGTGCTGTTAAAGATATGGCTGATCAACTGCTTGCCGACCGCGACGCGTCACCGGTTGGCACGCGTTGGGCTCATAACTTCGTCAAGCGACACCCAGACCTTAAGACGCGTTTCTTTCGTAAATACGACTATCAGAGAGCCAAATGCGAAGATCCAACCATTATCCGCGATTGGTTTCGGCTTGTGGCGAATACAATCGCGAAGTACGGCATCCGATCAGATGATCTCTATAACTTTGATGAGACTGGCTTTCTTATGGGCATGATTGCAAGCGGAATGGTTGTCACAGGTGCAGAAAGGCGTTCAAAGCCGAAATCAGTGCAGCCTGGAAACCGGGAATGGATTACAGTCATTCAAGCGATTAATGCGGAAGGCCAGGCGATCCAGCCGTTCATCATCGGTGCGGGCCAATATCACCTCGCCAACTGGTACCGAGAAAGCAACCTCCCGGGCGATTGGGCCATTGCGACGACCCAAAATGGCTGGACCGATAATGAGACTGGTCTAGAGTGGCTAAAGCACTTTGACCGGTGTACAGCTAAGCGATCAAATAGTCGCTATCGTCTCTTAATCCTTGATGGCCACGAAAGTCACCACTCCATCGAATTCGAGAGATATTGTGAGGAAAAGAAGATCATCCGGCTTTGTATGCCACCTCATTCCTCTCATCTGCTCCAGCCCCTTGACGTCGGGTGCTTTAGCGTGCTGAAGAAGGCTTATGGTCGAGAAATAGAGCATCTGATCAGATGTTCTATAACCCACGTTTCAAAGACGGAGTTCTTTCCGGCCTTCCACGCCGCACACAAGGCCACTATGACGGAAAGAAATATCAGGGGGGCTTTCAAAGGAGCTGGGCTTGTTCCTCTTGACCCAGAAACTGTGATCTCAAAGCTTGATGTTCAGCTACGGACGCCAACGCCGGTTGAGGAGGCAGCTGAGCCGTCGACCCCTTGGGCTTCAAGGACCCCAAAGACCGTGATTGAGGCCGGATCTCAGTCTGAATACCTCGAAAGGCGGATCAGAAGGCATCAAAGTAGCTCCCCAGAGTCAATTTTAGAGGCTCTACAGTCTCTTGCGAAGGGAACAAAGGCTGTTATGCATCGGGTTGCCTTATTGACCGCTGAGAACAAAGACCTTCGAGAGGCAAATAAGATACTAAGCCGGCGGCGGAGGGCAAAAAGGACTAGACTGCAGAAAAGAGGGGTAATGACGGTAGAAGAAGGAAGGCAAGCAATTGATCAAATGGATGTGGATGCGCAGGTAGTGGCCGAATCGTCGAGGAGTGGTGGTCGAGGAAGGTCGGTCGGACCGGGTGTTCGGCGCTGTGGTGTATGCGGCAAGCCCGGCCATAATGCAAGGACCTGTCAGGTAGTGATTGAGACATCTGGGGAAGGGTATAGTGAGTAGTTTTAATTGATTAAATGGTTTATGGTGTTTTTATTGCGATTTCTATCTAGAGGGGGAGGGGAAAGTGGCACACTTGCTTGACTGGCTCACTTGCTTATCAAGTACGTTATTACTTAATAAAGTTTAAAGCCTAATATATATTAATTAGTAATATATTATAGTTAATAAGTAATTAATTAGCTATATCTTTTATATTATATAGCTAGGGGGGGAATCCTCGGGAATCTAGGTTAAGAATAAAATAAATAAGGATTTATTCCTTTAGATTAGATAACTTATATAATTTTATAATAATATCTCGCATAGAAAGAATACCTTTTTGCCGGCGCTATAATATTATATAATTAATATTATAGATCTCTATAGCGCATTAGAGGCTTAATTTTAGGTTATTTTAAAGGGCTTAAAGTATAAGAAATAATCTAGCTTTAATATTTAATTAAGGTATATTAAATTATAAAGGATTAATTAATTAAATAGAGATAATATAAGTTAAGGGATTTTTATTATACTCGCTTATCTATTATGCTCGCTTATTATATATATTATTTAAATTATATTATTATTTTATAACCCTTAAGATACCCTATAGGTATTTTAATAATTAAATTATTATTATATTTTTATTTTTTACTTACATTAATATTATAATAATCTTAAGCTACCCTATATATATATTTTAATAATAAAATTATTATTATAGATTTTTTTATTAATTATTATTACTATTATATAAGCTATAATATAACCTATAGGTACTTAAATATTATTATTATTATTATTATTATTAATCTTATTATTCTCTTTGTTTTTTCCTTAGTTAATTAACTAACTAAAAACTAACTAAGAATAACTTAGTTTTTTTTAGTTTTAGTTTTTAATTTCGCTTAGTAATCTTAGTTTTAGTTTTTAATAATTAACTAATAGTTTTTTAACTAAGGAGTTAATTAACTATTAGTTAATTAACTAAGGAGTTAAAAAACTAATAGTTAATTAACTATTAGTTAAATAACTATTAGTTAAAAAACTTTTAGTTAAAACTAACAATTAGTTACTAATTTGCAACCCTGCTGATGTGTCTCTGCACAGAGATATCGACCGTACGAGATTTCTTCGGTTTGATCGTCCCCTGGACCGCCTATGGGGACTGGGTGCCTGAATTCAACCTTGGGGAAGGACTTGTGCTCGTAGTAATCTCCACGGCACCACTTCCACCCTTTTGGGAGGTTATCCTTTTCCCCCATGAAGCGTGTTTTATAATGATACGCATCATTCTGAGATGGAATGAGACGCCCAGGCGATTTTGGCGTTTCACTGGTGTACCATGTGAGTGTCGGTATCACTCGAGATATGGCGTTGGGTTGGTTGAGTCTCCTCCTGACTCCTCCGGCCAGTCTTCCTTTCCACCCGGCCCACGTCCAGCTTGGCGGGCAAGCTGTATCCTGACGCGCCCCCTTGCGGCGACGTAGACCACAGTTCAAGGCATGCCACGCCAGAAAGGTGTCGAAGAAGTACACGGGCAGCCCGTAGATGAAGCCGCGAGGGAAGGCTTGCTGCATGACGCTGAATGTACTGGAAATGGCATTCATTACATCCTCTTCAAAGGTGAGTGATCGTTGGTTGTAGATGGAAATCAGGTCGGCAAAGAGGCGCAGATTCGGAGCCCTGGATAGTTCAAGTGCATTGAATGTTTGAAGGCTGTTACCATAAGCCTGCAGCAGGGGAGCTGAACCTGCTTTATCGGGTGCCTCGTCGATGTCTTCAGAAAAGGTGCAGCACTGGCATGTCCACCTCACAGTATTGTCGTAAAATGTGATCTTTCTTCGCGCGAAGATACTCTCTTGAAAGGCCCAGCCACGGGTCGTCCAAGGAGCTGTAGCACGGTACGGAAGTCCTTTGACAGTGAAGCGTGTCTCGGGTGTTAACTGGAGAATAGGCTTAAGAAGCCTTGGCCGGGACAGACCACGCAGACCGGCTTCTGCGTCTTGTCCGTCTACTGCGACCAGAACGAGGGTGGCATTGTCGTAGATGGCTGCCATCTGGTTGATCTGTTGACCACAAGAGACTGGGTCGTCCTGGATGATGCAGAGGGAATCGATCCATAGGTAGCGCTCCTCCAGTAAGGGCACTAGCTTTATGGAATCCATAATGGTGGTCGGGATCTGACTCCCAAGCCGCTCTAGGGAATGATGCTGTCGTAGGAGGTCTATATTGGCTCGAGTTGTCTTGAGCATGGGTGCTTGGCCCCAGACGTAGCTCAAAGCGACATATTCCATGCCGTCTGCCGGCTCAACAAGACACATTTGCTTGGTATCAATAAGAAACGAGAGCGGACGGCGGAGACGCGTGCTTTTGTCCTGGCACTTGCTTCCGTGATACTTGTTGCAGTCTCGCTTCCACTTGAGTATCAGAGCTGGATCGATGAAATGATCCAAGGGCCGTTCTAGAGGAATGCTGGGGTTGTGAGAGAGATCGTTGATGAGCAGAAGCTGCGGCGCTCGCAGAATCTAATTCCCATCATAGAAGTTCTGAAGCAGCACCACTTCGCTTCCTACGGATAACTGAACGCCTGTGTGATTCTTTATCGAGTAGTCCATAGCATTCAAGTCGACGTTTAGTTTTAGAAGGGCCTCCGGGAAGCCGAGATGAACTTGGCATCCATTGTATACCTCGGCGGCTTCAAGCTTCCAAGTTCGGCGCTCTCGAGTGTACTCTGAAGGGGCAGCTAGTTTCTTTTCGTTGAGGGTTCTCACTTCCTCGGCTGCCTCGAGGAAAGCCTGGCAGAACTTGCACTCGAGGGTTACACTTTGGTCTGATGCAGTTGCTCCGGGACTCTCCGGCATGGCTGGATAGTTCTTTGCGATGGTGTTGTGTTTATGTTGCTTTCAAAATTTAGGCGGTTAATGAAACAAAGACTGGTTGCCTTCTGTATCAGGTGACGTGTTGGCCTGAAGTTGGCCGGGGACATGCAGCCAACGCTCCTGGCGGTTAAGGACTGTCACAACTGACAAGTCGGTCACATTTGCAATTACAAGGATCATCCGGCTACTACTCGAGAAGTCACTTCTCCCAGGCATGTTGTGAAGTTAGGTTCATCATATGTGGGATCATACCAACCTACTTAATTAATGAGGGTGTAGGTATCAAATAATAAACGTACAGTTCATAAACCAGATACAAACACCTAGCTTCTACTATAGACAGTCATAATTGACCCGACATTAGCAATAACATTACCGATCCGATCATGAACCATTATGCATTACGATTCAGTAACTCGGGGCTCTACCCGCACCCAGAGCTCGGATTGCGAAAAGATGCCACAGTTAAAAACTTTCCAAGGCTTTGTAGGATCACAGATGGAAAATTCAAACTGTCGGAGCAACTTGACGTCAAATGTTAGCAGGAGTGGGTTATGAATGGGGGAGTTAGAGCATACTCACCTCGACGTAGATCTTGTTCAGCTCCATGAGAGCCACCGGTCGCCCCAGACACTGCCACCGTCCGTAACTAAAAATGAGATCAAGCGCGCTCTCCATCTCCTTGATTTTTTCAGGCGGACTCTCAATCCATCGCTCGGGGCGGAACTCGCCGGCGTCGGGTCCCCATATGTCCTCACGGCGGAAGATGCCCCAGGCACAGTATCCGACACTTGTCCCACCGGGGATGAATTGACCTTTCCAAGTATCTCCTTGTGGTGGAACCTCTTTTGACATGAGACCGGCGACGGGAGGAAAGATGCGGAGGCCTTCTTTGATGACGGCTTGGAGGTAGGGTAGGTCGCGACCGATGGAATCTGGGATGATTGGCTCCGAGTATGAGGTCTTGGAGATTTCGGTGCGTAGTTTGTTGTACACGTGGGGGCTAGTGATGATATGAAGCATGGTTGAACGGATGGCCGTGGCGGTGGTATCAGAACCGGCGATACTGAAGTGGCATTGTAAGGGATTGCTCGAGGTGAATGCGGACGCAGTGACTTACATCTGGAGAAGGATCTCCGACTCGGCCTCTTTTTGGGTGAGTCCATGAGCGACAAAGGACCCAAGCATGTCCTTCCGGACCTTTTTGTCAGGTCCAAACCTTTCGGCAGTGATTGCTTTGGCGATGCTTGGAGATCATTAGTCTGCTGTTGTACCAGGGCACCGCAATAACTCACCCCATTACCCTGCCAAACCCAAGTCGATCCTTTTCAGACGGCAAAAGGCTCTTGAAAATCGGAGAGCTCAAGACCTTGACCAGCCATGGAACAACAGTAGTCACCATGACCATGGGCAGTGTCTCCTCGGTGGTCTTGATGTACTCGTACACATCCGAGTCTGTCTCCAAGAAGCCAAACGGTTCGCCAAAAGCCAAGTCAGAGAGGACGTCCAGAGTAAAAAACTGGGCGCGGCGGCCTAAATCGACTGGCTTCTTCTCGTCGGCGTATTTTCGCAGGAGCTTGATGAATGCGAGGATATTCTTGTCGATCTTGGGTTCCAGGTTCTCGACTTCGCGACCGCCATACTGTAACTGTCAGCTCGTGCGCGAGGGCATTATCTAGGTAACGTACTCCTGCAGACATCTTGGACCGCAGCTTGAAGTGTTCGTCCTCGTCCCTCCACGAGAGGATGTTGTTGTTGGCCGGGTCGAAGCGCATGCCATCGTACCAAGGAGAGCGCCGGTATTCGGTTCTAACGTTGAGGATGTGCTTCATGAGGTCGGGATCGTCGGTAAGGAGATCGTTGGGACTGACGCGAGCGATAGAACCTGCGACACATTATTAGCATTCATTGAAGCGCAATTGACTGCTAAAGCCACTGTTAGAGAAATGCGACGCAACTGACCATACTTCTTGGTAACCTCCCAAAAGTCCAGGTATGCTCTACCGCTGCCGACCGTCCTGATGAGCCACCATTTCGAGAATCCAGCGAGACGAGGTCCTTTGAAGGCGCGAAGACGATTGTACTGCCTCCATGTTGAAATGCCCGACCAGAAGATCAAGACTCCGACCAACAACCCAGCGATGGCAATTGACGGGCGCACACCATCGAAAAGACCCCGCAATCCGTCGACCGAGCTCATCATGGGAACTGTTTCTCGCAGTGGAGATACAGGGCTGATGGTTCTATCCCCAGGTCACGAGCTGGAGAAGCTGAGCCGAGAAAGCCAAGAAAGAGAAGGATTGCTCTCCTCCCATGACGGATTAATGAATACTAATCCTCTGGTTACATTCGCACAGCTGGAATGTCTTAGCGTGGGACTTGCCCATCACTTGATGGAGATCCCCTCGCCGAACGAGCCGCCATCACAAACTTGAGCGCCCCGATAGGACGGAAGACCTTTACTAGATCAACCCGCTAATGGCCTCTAGAACGCCCTAGATCGGGAAGAGGCCCAGGCGCCGGCGGTGCGTGCCGCTCAAGCCTTTCGTTAGCGTGAGCCACAGTGGAATGTCCTTCTGCGAATGGCTGGCCTGGAGGTCTAGATGTGGCAACGCTTCCCCGGGGACAGGGGAGCTCGATGGGTAGATATTGGCCGTGGACGCATTCAACTCTTCTGTCACGAACGATTCTCCTTCCCTGTAGAGGCATTCCTCCGGATATGAAGAGCAGCCTCGGCTTGCATCGAACGCGTCAGTGAAGCCCCTCTCTGCGACCGTCTTCATCGTACGTCTTTGAGAGGCGCGGATAATTAAACATCCCATCTAGTGAAGGAACCCTAGGGCCACGGTTATTCCAGTAGTGAAGGATAACCCGGGTCTAGCACCCAAACGGTTCGTTTATTAGCATTACAGTACTTGCTTGCACACTGGATCGATCGCGTGAGGGGAGGAAATCTTGACCTCTTTTGCTCTTTGTTGCGATCTGACATTGACACGGCGATAGACGAACGCACGACCGAGTAGATTGGCTGTCGACTTTGATCTTTTCTTTGATCGTTTGACCCCGCGATTTCGCCATGACGGGCACGCCTGAGTCGGGGAGGAAGGGGAGTCAAGAGGGTAGTCCCAAGCCTGAGCGACGACAAGCTGCCACCACCGAGGATGAGCCTATCGAGGCCGAGGTGAGAGTGAACGCACCGTATTGATAAGAGTGGACACTGAGAAAGCAATCCCAGGAGCATGAAGAAATTGATGATAACGATTCGGCACTGGGCGTAAGTGAAGTCTTGACTGGCCAGGGTCAGCGTCACGTTTGGTGCTGATCTTCACGTGCAGGATGATGCTGCCAGCTCTACGGCATCGATGCGATCCAGCATTCTTCAGTATCGTACCGAGAATGGACGAACTTATCATTCCTTCAGAGAGTCGAGTGAGTTTGCCAAATACTCATGAGAGAACGATGAGCTGACTTTTTGCTTCAAGTCAATTACGTACTCCCCAACGATTCGGTAAGAGTGACAAGGGTCAATCTCGATGCGCGTCTTGGTTCATGGTGCTAATCGCTTGGCATGCAACCAGTCTGAGCAAGAACGTCTAGGTTAGTGTCGTGATGATGTTGCATTGGGGATCTCGCTAACTTGTGTTAGATCTTCAGCATCATTTGTTCACGCTTACCCTTGGAGGGAAGCTGTACTTGAGTCCGATTGGTAAAGACGAAAGGCCTATTCGGCGATGTCTGGATGCTGGTACTGGAACTGGTGTTTGGGCTATTGACTTTGGTAGGTATCTCTCATTGAAGTTGGACATTGCTGACCTTTGAACAGCGGATGAGCACCCCGAGGCAGAGGTATAACTCGACACCCCAGGATTCATGATGAACTCAAGATTGACACTTGCTAGGTCATTGGCATTGATCTCAGTCCTATCCAACCAACCTTGTACGTCTCCCCTCACATAAGATCACAATGAGATACCCACTCACCAACCCAGCCTCCCCGCCAACCTCTCATTTCAAGTCGACGACCTCGAAGACGAATGGACCTACAGCTACAAGTTCGACTTTATCTACGGCCGCATGCTCGTTGGTTCCATCGGCGACTGGCCCAAATTCTTCAAGCAAAGCTTCGACAATCTCAACCCCGGAGGATGGGTCGAGTGTCAAGACATAACCTTTCCCGCAGAATGCGACGACGACACGCTCAAGAAGGGATCCTACATTGACCAATGGTCCAGTCTCATGATTGAGGCGACAAACGTCTTTGGCCGTGGTGCGCAGAGCGCAAAGAAGTACAAGCAGCAGATGATTGATGCTGGGTTCGTCAATGTCACCGAGGTGATTTACAGGTGGCCTACGAACCGGTGGCCTGCGGATCCGTACTACAAAGAGCTGGGCTTTTGGTCTTGTCACAATATCGCTGGAGAGTTGTCGGGTCTTTCCATGGCGCTGTTTACGCGTGCTTTGGGATGGAGTTCTGAGCAGGTAGAGGTGTTTTTGACGAATGTGAGGACGGATATGAAGGACAGACGGATCCACGCTTGGTGGCCCATGTAAGTGACCTGTGTCGATTGTGGTTGAAGACTGCTGACTTTTATAGACACGTTGTATATGGACAGAAGCCAGAAGAAGCTTGAGACTTGTCTCAAGATGTCACGAATTGCAATGATAACAGATTGGAGGGTTTTTGTTCCCGGCTGATCCGGGCTAGCCATGTTATATTCTTTTTAAATCACAACTGTCCTTTCTCTGTCGGATGGCCTAGATCCTCCGTGCCTCCGCGCCCCCATCCTTGAAACGCATCTTGTCTCTTACTTGATCCCGTCTAGCTGCTTCGTCTAGCTGTCCTCTTTGGTCTTCTTCAACAGAGCCAAGGCCACTATTTTATCTCCGGTCATGGCCGAGCTGTCCCGAGATTGGAATCAGACCAGGATGTGTCAAGCTGAAAAAGCCCCAGCTGTCACTTTAAATCTCTCAGCCCGTCCCTCACACATACTTTTTTTTTTTCTTATCAATCTGATAATCTACATGACTCCATCACCAACCATGGAGCAAGAAAGCGAAATTCCGACTTTTAGGATCGACCTCGCCCGATCACCCGAGGATCGATATGTAGACGTCGCTGCTACATTTGGACCTCGAATTCGTACTCTTGGCCATGTTTTTGACGAGCTGCTCGAGTCGATGCTGGGTTCCAAGTGGCTTGCCCGGATCGCCAAATTTCTCGCCAGGGTGTTTCTCCGACGCGTGCACGATGAAGAGGAAACACGTGAGATAAGAGGATTCGTCAAGGTCGCTCGGTGCGATCTCTTTCTCGTGGTGGCGCTCAACGTGTTTCTGGATGTCATGATGGGCTGCACAGCTGGATGCGTCAAGGTCAAGGGGAAGCAAGTGCAGGATGAGCGACTGATGCACTTTCGCACTCTTGATTGGGGTTTGGATCCGTTGAGGGATTTGGTGGTTGTGCTCGAGTATGTAGACTCGTCCAAGGATCCAGATCATGTCATTGCCACATCGATTACATATGCTGGCTTCATGGGAGTGTTGACTGGAGTAAAGTATGTACTCTGTGCTTCAAAGGGTTCAGTGCTGACTTTGGTAAAGGGAGAATTTGTCCCTTTCTCTTAACTATCGACCGTTGCATCTTTGCGACAACTCTCACCTTAAGAAGCATCAGCTTCTTGTTATCCTTGGCTTCCGACCTTCTGTGTCTTCTATCCTACGACACACACTTTTCAACCAGCAAAAAACAGAGGCACCATCTTCTCTCGTGGAAAGCGCCAAACAACTATCCAGTGTCCGGAGTGCACCGTGTTATCTTACCCTATGCGACGGAAACCACGCCGTCGTGATCGAAAAGGACCTCCTTACTGGTCGTCTCCGAGAAAATGACCGCTTCATCGTACAGACAAACCACGACTCATGTGATGCTACAAGATGCGGCACAGAACTACGCTCCGAACCAGTAACTCCTCATCCAGAACTCTGGCTCCGAGATTCCAACGACCGCATGGACGTCATCAGCGACAAGTGGAGTGACCACTGCAGCACGGAAGCTTCAAGCGATGATGAGGCTGTTGTCGTGGATGACAACAAGAGCTCTGTCAAGCAGGAGACTCTTCGGGAGTGGATGATGGATAAGAGGATTTCGAACGGGTTTACGCATTTTGCTTGTATTATGGATCCGGCTACCGGGAGGGTGCCTTGGTTGAGGAGGGGACCTGCTCCTGAGGTCAAGGTGGTTGAGGATGCCGCCAAGGAGTAGTGTTTTTATGCCATATGTATAGATAAAACTGTACCTAGATACATTTTATACGAATAATACTTTTAGAAAGTGAGTATTTGCTGTGAGTTTGCTTGAATGAAGCGTCTCATTGAGCGGCAATATCAACCAGTAGCCAGACACAGTGAGTGGTAGACTATTTCGTGACATGCTGACGTCGAATATTGCCATTGTATATACTTTAAACACTGTCCAAGATAGGTACTCTAACTTTTATTGGGCCTATCAGGAAGGAAGATCGGCAATCGTAGTGAGTGAAGAACACTTTCACCTTAGTCGGCCATATAGAGACGGATGGCTCAACAATAACGACTGCCACCTGCACTCATCCATATGAGCAGTATACGGACTGTTAACTACATAGGCAATACTGCACATGTGAAATACGAAAATATCGTCTCATTCAAAAGAATATCGTAAAGGCTCACCAGGTTGACTTGAATTTGCTCAAACTCATGTCACACTTGGACACCCTCTAGGGTATCAGACTCCTCCCAGTAAGTGAGAACGATAAGCTGACGGATCCTTTCCATGAGTTTGCCGAGTGGCTATGCTGTCTCGTGAAATGAAGAGTTTTATTACAATCACAAGATGATGACGATCATCACGGACATCCGGCACGGACTTATAAACTCTACCATGAGGGATTCGAATATCCTGTGATGGAATCAAAACTCAATACTCACACAAAACCTCAAGCACTGCCTCACACTAACACAGAAACCTTTTGTGAATCTCATGTTTTGTCGCACTTGAGTCGAGTCGCTGGCCTGCCCCTTTCCGCAACTCCCGGACTTGTCCACCCGTCGCACGGGTTTCCTGTTAGAGTAATTTCGCCCCTTGAAAAAACACAGCCTCTGCTCCGCCTCACAAACACGTCAGATCAAAGCTTGTTTTATGGACTTGGTCTTCCGCCTTCGGCA